TTGATCAAACAATGGCTCGATTTAGTACGTTTCAAGGTTTTGAGCAAAAAACTTTTCTATTTGAAGCAAAGCAACATTGCTTCACAATTTCATTGGTTTGATTCGTTTAAACAGTGATGGCCATTGGTTTGATTCGTTTAAACAATAATGACAGGGTGGCCGAGTGGTTAAGGCGTTGGACTGCTAATCCAATACGGTATCCGTGTGTGGGTTTGAATCCCATATCTGTCGGTTAGTTAACAATTAACCAAAAACATTTACACAATTCTAAACAGACTAGTCAAGCTGACAAACTTTGAAAATTTTCAAGTTATTTCATGAAGAAAATCGGATGGCCAATGTTATACGTTTTTTATATTGAAACCATTCAAGCAATGGAATTTTTAAAAAGTTCAGATTACTTTGTTGACCAAGTTTCTCCACAAAAAACAATCGTTTTCCAATGGAAGCATTTCATTTTTAAATTTTTCGTAGATTTTTATTCCGCTTCGTTTCCTAATTTGAAAGCTTTAGCAGGTTGCTTAGAAAAACTTGAAATTTCAGCGAAACAATTTGGTCTATAAAACGGTTTGAACTAGTCCAGTTGTATAACTAAAGTGCTTACTTATTCATTAAATTTTTTAAATAAAGACTTCAAGCCTCTTTTTGATCAAAAAATGGCTTGATTTAGTACGTTTCAATGTTTTGAGCAAAAAAAAACCCTTCTATTTGAAGCAAAGCAACATTGCTTCACAATTTTATTGGTTCGATTTTTCTTACCACTTATTTAATTGTGCTCAGACAGGGTGACCGAGTGGTTAAGGCGTTGAACTGGTAATGTATTATGGTCTCCATGCGTGGGTTTGAATCCCATCTATGTCTATTAGTTTTTGAAAACACATGAACTGAAATCGGTAAGCACAAAACTGATGTTTACTCAAGTTAGTTAACAACTAAGCAAAAAAATTTACAAAAAATTTCGGTGAACGACATGACATGCAAACATTTGAAATTTTTCTAAACAGACTAGTCAAGCAGACAAACTTTTAAAAACTTCAAGTTATTTCATGAAGAAAATCGGATGGCCAATGTTATACGTTTTTTCTATTGAAACCATTCAAGCAATGGAATTTTAAAAAAAGTTCAGATTATTTTGTTGACCAAGTTTCTCCTCAAAAAACAATCGTTTTTCAATGGAAACACTTCATTTTTAAGTTTTCCTTAGATTTTTAATCCGCTTCGTTTCCTAGTTTGAAAAATTTAACAGGTTGCTTAGAAAAAATTGAAAATTTAACGAAACTATTTGGTCTAAAAAACGGTTTGAACTAGTCCAGTTTTATGACTAGAGTATTTACTTATTCATTAAATTTTTTTAAAAATAGACTTCAAGCCTCTTTTTGATCGAACAATGGCTTGATTTAATACGTTTCATTATTTTGAGCAAAAAAAAACTATTCTATTTGAAGCAAAGCAACATTGCTTCAAAACTTTATTGGTTCAATTCGTTTAAACAGTGATGGCCATTGGTTCGATTCGTTTAAACAACAATGACAGGGTGGCCGAGTGGTTAAGGTGTTGGACTGCTAATCCAATACGGTCTCCGTGCGTGGGTTCGAGTACCATCTCTGTCGATTAGTTTTTAAAAATTGATGAACTGATTTCGTTAAGCAAAAAAACTGATATTTACCTAAATTTAATACTAATTCACAGAGAAATTTGTCAGTTCAAAAAGTTTTAGAGAAACACTCGGCTCACAAACTTTTGAAATTCGTCTGAACAGTTAGTCAAGCAACCAAACCTTGAAAAATTTTAAGCTTATTTTTGCAGAAATTCGGATGGCCAATGTATACATTTTTCTATTGAAACCATTCCAGCAATGGAAATTTGAAAAATTCAGGTTTTTTTTGGCCAAGTTTTTCCACAAAAAGCCATAATTTTTCAATGGAATCAATTCAAGTTTAAATTTTCCCTGGATTTTTGTTTTGCTTCGTTTTCTAGTTTGAAAGCTCTAACAGGTTGCTTAGAAAAACTTGAAATTTCAGCGAAACAATTTGGTATATTAAACGGTTTGAACTAGTCCAGTTGTCTGATAGAGTGCTTCATAGAGGCTTAAATATAGACTTCAAACCTCTTTTTGATCAAACAATGGCTCGATTTAGTACGTTTCAAGGTTTTGAGCAAAAAACTTTTCTATTTGAAGCAAAGCAACATTGCTTCACAATTTCATTGGTTCGATTCGTTTAAACAGTGATGGCCATTGGTTTGATTCGTTTAAACAATAATGACAGGGTGGCCGAGTGGTTAAGGCGTTGGACTGCTAATCCAATACGGTATCCGTGTGTGGGTTTGAATCCCATATCTGTCGGTTAGTTAACAACTAACCAAAAAAATTTACACAATTCTAAACAGACTAGTCAAGCTGACAAACTTTGAAAATTTTCAAGTTATTTCATGAAGAAAATCGGATGGCCAATGTTATACGTTTTTTCTATTGAAACCATTCAAGCAATGGAATTTTAAAAAAGTTCAGATTACTTTGTTGACCAAATTTCTCCACAAAAAACAATCGTTTTTCAATGGAAGCACTTCATTTTTAAGTTTTCCTTAGATTTTTTTTCCGCTTCGTTTCCTAGTTTGAAAGCTTTAACAGGTTGCTAAGAAAAAATTGAAAGTTTAGAGAAACTAATTGGTCTATAAAACGGTTTGAACTAGTCCAGTTTTATGATTGGAGTGTTTATTATTCAATAAATTTTTTAAATAAAGACTTCAAGGCTCTTTTTGATCGAACAATGGCTTGATTTAATACGTTTCTATGTTTTGAGCAAAAAAAAACTATTCTATTTGAAGCAAAGCAACATTGCTTCAAAATTTTATTGGTTCAATTCGTTTAAACAGTGATGGCCATTGGTTTGATTCGTTTAAACAATAATGACAGGATGGCCGAGTGGTTAAGGCGTTGGACTGCTAATCCAATACGGTCTCCATGCGTGGGTTCGAATCCCATCCCTGTCGGATAGTTTTTAAAAATATATGAACTGAATTCGTGAAGCAAAAAAAACTGATATTTCCCTATTTGTTACTAATTCACAGAGAAATTTGTCAGGTCAAAAAATTTTAGAGAAAAAATCGGCTCACAAACTTTTGAAATTCGTCTGAACAGTTAGTCAAGCAACCAAACCTTGAAAAATTTTAAGTTTATTTTTGCAGAAATTCGGATGGCCAATGTATACATTTTTCTATTGAAACCATTCCAGCAATGGAAATTTGAAAAATTCAGGTTTTTTTTGGCCAAGTTTTTCCACAAAAAGCCATAATTTTTCAATGAAACCAATTCAAGTTTAATATTTCCCTAGATTTTTGTTTTGCTTCGTTTTCTAGTTTGAAAGCTCTAGCAGGTTGCTTAGAAAAACTTGAAATTTCAGCGAAACAGTTTGGTCTATTAAACGGTTTGAACTAGTCCAGTTGTCTGATAGAGTGCTTCATAGAGGCTTAAATATAGACTCCAAGCCTCTTTTTGATCAAACAATGGCTCGATTTAGTACGTTTCAAGGTTTTGAGCAAAAAACTTTTCTATTTGAAGCAAAGCAACATTGCTTCACAATTTCATTGGTTCGATTCGTCTGACCAATTAATTAATTGTGCTCAGACAGGGTGACCGAGTGGTTAAGGCGTTGGACTGCTAATTTAATATGGTCTCCATGCGTGGGTTTGAATCCCTTCTTTGTCGATTAGTTTTTGAAAACACATGAACTGAAATCGGTATGCACAAAACTGATGTTTACTCAAGTTACTTAACAACTAAGCAAAAAAATTTACAAAAAATTTCGGTGAACGACATGACATGCAAACATTTGAAATTTTTCTAAACAGACTAGTCAAGCAGACAAACTTTGAAAAATGTCAAGTTATTCCATGAAGAAAATCGGATGGCCATTGTTATACGTTTTTCTAATGAAACCATTCAAGCAATGGAATTTTGAAAAACTTCAGATTACTTTGTTGGCCAAGTTTCTCTACAAAAAACAATCGTTTTTCTATGGAAGCACTTCATTTTTTTTAATTTTTCCTTAGATTTTTATTCCGCTTCGTTTCCTAGTTTGAAAGCTTTAACAGGATGCTTAGAAAAAATTGAAAATTTAACGAAACGATTTGGTCTATAAAACGGTTTGAACTAGTCCAGTTTTATGACTAGAGTGCTTACTTATTCATTAAATTTTTTAAATAAAGAATTCAAGCCTCTTTTTGATCAAACATTGGCTTGATTTAATCCGTTTCAATGTTTTGAGCAAAAAAACTCTTCTATTAGAAGCAAAGCTACATTGCTTCAAAATTTTATTGTTTCGATTCGTTTAAAAAATGATTTATTAGTGCTCAGACAGGGTGTCCGAGTGGTTAAGACGTTGGACTGCTAATCCAATACGGTCTCCGTGCGTGGGTTTGAATCCCATATCTGTCGGTTAGTTAACAACTAACCAAAAAAATTTACACAATTCTAAACAGACTAGTCAAGCCGACAAACTTTGAAAATTTTCAAGTTATTCCATGAAGAAAATCGGATGGCCAATGTTATACGTTTTTCTATTGAAACCATTCAAGCAATGGAATTTTGAAAAACTTCAGATTACTTTGTTGGCCAAGTTTCTCCACAAAAAACAATCGTTTTTCAATGGAAGCTTTTCATTTTTAAATTTTCCCTAGATTTTTTTTCCACTTCGTTTCCTAGTTTGAAAGCTTTAACAGATTGCTTAGAAAAAAATGAAAATTTAGCGAACTGATTTGGTCTATAAAACGAATTGAACTAGCCCAGTTCTATGACTAGAGCGCTGACTTATTCATTAAATTTTTTGAATATAAAAATCAAGTCTCTTTTTGATCGAACAATGGCCTGATTTAATAAGTTTCAACGCTTTGAGCAAAAAAAAACTATTCTATTTGAAGCAAAGCAACATTGCTTCAAAATTTTATTGGTTCAATTCGTTTAAACAGTGATGGCCATTGGTTCAATTCCTTTAAACTACAATGACAGGGTGACCGAGTGGTTAAGGCGTTGCACTGGTAATGTAATATGGTCTCCATGCGTGGGTTTGAATCCCATCTGTGTCGATTAGTTTTTGAAAACACATGAACTGAAATCGGTAAGCACAAAACTGATGTTTACCCAAGTTAGTTAACAACTAACCAAAAAAATTTACACAAAGTTTCAGTGAACGACATGACTTGCAAACATTTGAAATTTTTCTAAACAGGCTAGTCAAGCGACAAACTTTGAAAAACTTCAAGTTATTTCATGAAGAAAATCGGATGGCCAATGTTATACGTTTTTCTATTGAAACCATTCAAACAATGGAATTTTAAAAAAATTCAGATTACTTTGTTGGCCAAGTTTCTCCACAAAAAACAATCGTTTTTCAATGGAAGCACTTCATTTTTAAATTTTCCTTAGATTTTTATTCCGCCTCGTTTCCCAGTTTGAAAGCTTTAACAGGTTGCTTAGAAAAATTGAAAATTTAACGAAACGATTCGGTCGATAAAACGGTTTGAACTATTCCAGTTTTATGACTAGAGTGCTGACTTATTCATTAAAATTTTTGAATATAGAATCAAGTCTCTTTTTGATCGAACATTGGCTTGATTTAATACGTTTCAATGTTTTGAGCAAAAAACTCTTCTATTAGAAGCAAAGCTACATTGCTTCAAAATTTTATTGTTTCGATTCGTTTAAATAATGATTTATTAGTGCTCAGACAGGGTGGCCGAGTGGTTAAGGCGTTGGACTGCTAATCCAATACGGTCTCCGTGCGTGGGTTCGAATCCCATCTCTGTCGGTTAGTTTTTGAAAATTGATGAACTTAATTCGTTAAGCAAAAAAACTGACATTTACCTTAATTTTGTTACTAATTCACAGAGAAATTTGTCAGGTCAAAAAACTTTAGAGAAACAATCAAATCACAAACTTTTGAAATTTGTCTGAACAGTTAGTCAAGCAACCAAACCTTGAAAATTTTTAAGTTTATTTTTGCAGAAAATCGGATGACCAATGAATACATTTGTTTATTGAAACCATTCCAGCAATGGAAATTTTAAAAACTTCAGGTTTTTTTTGGCCAAGTTTTTCCACAAAAAGCTATAGTTTTTCAGTGGTAAGCATTTCATTTTTAAATTTTTCGTAGATTTTTATTCCGCTTCGTTTCCTAATTTGAAAGCTTTAACAGGTTGCTTAGAAAAACTTGAAATTTCAGCAAAACAATTTGGTCTATAAAACGGTTTGAACTAGTCCAGTTGTATGACTTAAGTGCTTACTTATTCATTAAATTTTTTAAATATAGACTTCAAGCCTCTTTTTGATCAAACAATGGCTTGATTTAGTACATTTCAATGTTTTGAGCAAAAAAACTCTTCTATTTGAAGCAAAGCAACATTGCTTCAAAATTTTATTGGTTCGATTCGTGCTACCAACTAATTAATTGTGCTCAGACAGGGTGACCGAGTGGTTAAGGCGTTGGACTGGTAATGTAATATGTCTTCATGCGTGGGTTTGAATCCCATCTCTGTCGATTACTTTTTTGAAAACACATGATCTGAAATCGGTAAGCACAAAATTGATGTTTACCCAAGTTAGTTAACAACTAACCAAAAAAATTTACTCAAAATTCAGTGAACGACTTGACATGCAAACATTTGAAATTTTTTTAAACAGACTAGTCAAGCAGACAAACTTTAAAAAACTTCAAGTTATTTCATGAAGAAAATCGGATGGCCTTTGTTATATGTTTTTCTATTGAAACCATTCAAGCAATGGAACTTTAAAAAACCTCAGATTACTTTGTTGGCCAAGTTTCTCCACAAAAAACAATCGTTTTTCAATGGAAGCACTTCATTTTTAAATTTTCCTTAGATTTTTATTCCGCTTCGTTTCCTAGTTTGAAAGCTTTAACAGGTTGCTGAGAAAAAATTGAAAATTTAATGAAACGATTTGGTCTATAAAACGGTTTGAACTAGTCCAGTTTTATGACTAGAGTGCTTACTTATTCATTAAGTTTTTTAAATATAGACTTCAAGCCTCTTTTTGATCAAACAATGGCTTGATTTAATACGTTTCATTTTTTTGAGCAAAAAAAACTATTGTATTTGAAGCAAAGAATCATTGCTTCAAAATTTTATTGGTTCAATTAGTTTAAACAGTGATGGCCATTGGTTCGATTCGTTAAAACAACAATGACAATGGCCGAGTGGTTAAGGTGTTGGACTGCTAATCCAATACGGTCTCCGTGCGTGGGTTCGAGTACCATCTCTGTCGGTTAGTTTTTAAAAATTGATGAACTGAATTCGTTAAGCAAAAAAACTGATATTTACCTAAATTTAATACTAATTCACAGAGAAATTTGTCAGGTCAAAAATTTTTAGAGAAACACTCGGCTCACAAACTTTTGAAATTCGTCTGAACAGTTAGTCAAGCAACCAAACCTTGAAAAATTTTAAGTTTATTTTTGCAGAAATTCGGATGGCCAATGTATACATTTTTCTATTGAAACCATTCCAGCAATGGAAATTTGAAAAATTCAGGTTTTTTTTGGCCAAGTTTTTCCACAAAAAGCCATAATTTTTCAATGGAATCAATTCAAGTTTAAATTTTCCCTGGATTTTTGTTTTGCTTCGTTTTCTAGTTTGAAAGCTCTAACAGGTTGCTTAGAAAAACTTGAAATTTTAGCGAAACAATTTGGTCTATAAAACGGTTTGAACTAGTCCAGTTGTATGACTAGAGCGCTTACTTATTCATTAAATTTTTTAAATATAGACTTCAAGCCTCTTTTTGATCGAACAATGGCTTGATTTAATACGTTTCAATGTTTTGAGCAAAAAAACTCTTCTATTAGAAGCAAAGCTACATTGCTTCAAAATTTTATTGTTTCGATTCTTTTAAACAATGATTTATTAGTGCTCAGACAGGGTGGCCGAGTGGTTAAGGCGTTGGACTGCTAATCCAATACGGTCACGTGCGTGGGTTTGAATCCCATATCTGTCGGTTAGTTTTCAAAAAATTGATGAACTGAATTCGTTAAGCATAAAAACTGATATTCACCTAATTTTGTTTTTAATTCACAGAGAAATTTGTCAGGTCAAAAAAATTTAGAGAAACAATGGGCTCACAAACTTTTGAAATTTGTCTGAACAGTTAGTCAAGCAACCAAACCTTGAAAAAGTTTTAAGTTTATTTTTGCAGAAAATCGGATGGCCAATGTATACATTTTTCTATTAAAACCATTCCAGCAATAGAAATTTGAAAAACTTCAGATTTTTTTTGTCCAAGTTTTTCCAAAAAAAGCTATAGTTATTCAGTGGAATCAATTCAAGTTTAAATTTTCCCTAGATATTTGTTTTGCTTCGTTTTCTAGTTTGAAAGCTCTAACAGGTTGCTTAGAAAAACTTGAAATTTTAGCGAAACAATTTGGTCTATAAAACGGTTCGAACTAGTCCAGTTGTATGACTAGAGTGCCTACTGATTCATTAATTTTTTTAAATATAGACTTCAAGCCTCTTTTTTATCGAACAATGGCTTGATTTAATACGTTTCAATGTTTTGAGCAAAAAAACTCTTCTATTAGAAGCAAAGCTACATTGCTTCAAAATTTTATTGTTTCGATTCTTTTAAACAATGATTTATTAGTGCTCAGACAGGTTGGCCGAGTGGTTAAGGCGTTGGACTGATAATCCAATACGGTCACGTGCGTGGGTTTGAATCCCATATCTGTCGGTTAGTTTTTAAAAATTGATGAATTGAATTCGTTAAGCATAAAAACTGATATTCACCTAATTTTGTTTTTAATTCACAGAGAAATTTGTCAGGTCAAAAAATTTTAGAGAAACAATGGGCTCACAAACTTTTGAAATTTGTCTGAACAGTTAGTCAAGCAACCAAACCTTGAAAAATTTTAAGTTTGTTTATGCAGAAAATCGGATGGCCAATGTATACATTTTTCTATTGAAACCATTCCAGCAATGGAAATTTAAAAAACTTCAGGTTTTTTTGTTGGCCAAGTTTTTCCACAAAAACTATAGTTTTTCAGTGGAATCAATTCAAGTTTAAATTTTCCCTAGATTTTTGTTTTGCTTCACTTTCTAGTTTGAAAGCTCTAACAGGTAGCTTAGAAAAACTTGAAGTTTCAGCGAAACGATTTGGTCTATAAAACGGTTTGAACTAGTCCAGTTTTAAGACTAGAGTGCTTACTTATTTATTAAGTTTTTTAAATATGGACTTCAAGCCTCCTTTTGATCGAACAATGGCTTGATTTAATACATTTCATTTTTTTGAGCAAAAAAAACTATTCTATTTGAAGCAAAGAAACATTGCTTCAAAATTTTATTGGTTCAATTAGTTTAAACAGTGATGGCCATTGGTTCGATTCGTTTAAACAACAATGACAGGGTGGCCGAGTGGTTAAGGTGTTGGACTGCTAATCCAATACGGTCTCCGTGCGTGGGTTCGAGTACCATCTCTGTCGGTTAGTTTTTAAAAATTGATGAACTGATTTCGTTAAGCAAAAAAACTGATATTTACCTAAATTTAATACTAATTCACAGAGAAATTTGTCAGGTCAAAAAGTTTTAGAGAAACACTCGGCTCACAAACTTTTGAAATTCGTCTGAACAGTTAGTCAAGCAACCAAACCTTGATAAAGTTTTAAGTTTATTTTTGCAGAAAATCGGATGGCCAATGTATACATTTTTCTATTAAAACCATTCCAGCAAGGGAAATTTGAAAAACTTCAGGTTTTTTTGGCCAAGTTTTTCCAAAAAAAGCGATAGTTATTCAGTGGAATCAATTGAAGTTTAAATTTTCCCTAGATTTTTGTTTTGCTTCGTTTTCTAGTTTGAAAGCTCTAACAGGTTGCTTAGAAAAACTTGAAATTTAAGCGAAACAATTTGGTCTATAAAACGGTTTGAACTAGTTCAGTTGTATGACTAGAGTGCTTACTTATTCATTAAATTTTTTAAATATAGACTTCAAGCCTCTTTTTGATCGAACAATGGCTTGATTTAATATGTTTCAATGTTTGAGCAAAAAAACTCTTCTATTAGAAGCAAAGCTACATTGCTTCAAAATT